CCGCATCCACCTAACTACATCAATTTTTAATACTCTCACCCTATCCAACCCACCTTATTTTGTGATTACATCCAGGTGAATCCAGTGCACCGCAGTAGCTGGGCTTTTTCCCGTATTGTTTAACTTAGCAGGTTCAATTGTTGGAGGTCTAGTGAAATTTTTATGTTCCAATAACCTAGCTGACCCCAACCTACTAGTTTGACCTATGTAATTGCTAAATTATGCTATTTTTCTTAATTGGATCGTTTTGATCCTTTAACTGACTCAGTTTATCTCTGAAAAAGTTGGCTGGTTGGTTGATTTAAATGCCACCCTAATTCCAGCTACATCGAGAATTCGACGTAAGGCCTCTGATGTCCTTTCTTTTTATGGCAGTAATACAGAGCCTTCGAATTCCATATTATTTCCGTCATTTTTATTCCTAATCTTAGTTTTTCTTTAGTTCTTTATACGTTTTTGAATTAATTCTGATGGATAGTTATTCACTAGTAATACTTCTTTTATTTGTTTGATTTCATTATTTAAATCTTCTGGCTTGCTGGTCAGACTCTTGGCCCGATTATACAGACATTTAACTAAACCTATCTTTACCGACTCTGGATGGGATGAATCAAAGTCTAAGTATTTATTAGAGCATGTTGGTTTCCTATAAATGCTAATATCTAACCCATTATCTTGCTTTCATTTTATTCTACAGTCTAGCATAGCCAACTCACCCTGTTCACGACTACATACTGCAGCTCTTCAGGAAATTCATCCAGTAGCTATGAATAAGCTAGCAACTGATAATATTCAGATGAAGTAGATCCCCATCTAGGGCAACAGTGGGTGCGACCCTATATAATGATGAGTTGACAAAGTTAGAATTTAATGGGTCATTGAATTCCAGCCGAAGTGGCTGGATGGTGTTGCAACCTGAAGGTCCCGAATACGATCTCCGGCAGGGTGGTGGATGAGCGCCGCCGAAGAGTCCCAGGATAGGGCGAAACAACTGTACAGTTCTTCCAGCTGATTTTCAATGATCTCTCCCTCTCTTAACTGACGCTGGATCATGACGAAAATCTAATAATCGTAATCATAACTTATTTAGTGCTTTTAATACTTCTCCTATAACCATCACCCAATGTAATGAAATACGCCTGATAAAAAATATAGTCAGTAAGCAAAGGTGATGTTTATTTACTTTAATACGAAGAAATTTGATGTTAGCGTAACATCTGAACATTCCAAGGAATGTGCAATGCACACGTTTCTTCGATTATATAAACAGAACACAAAGACAGAATTAACAATTATCCCCCCTGGTTCATCGAGTCTACTACACCCAACACATGCAACAGAAATGACTCTATGCAAATACTAGTCAGTCAATTCAGAAGAGGATAATAAATAATCTTAAAATTCTATTCCAATTTACGTACATCATAACATTCTAACAAGTTATTTATTTAAGTGTTGGTTTGTAGGGATTTGATTGGTTATAGGATTTCATCATGGGGTGACATTAGTTAGAGAACCATTGGAAAACCACCAGGAAGTACTGGACAGCTGTTTCGTCAGCCTAGTTTATGACTCTTCAGCAGTACGCACCCACCGACGGCGTTCGAACCCAGAACCTTCTGATTACAAGGCGAGCTAGGATACCATTAAGCCACTGGGACCCGGGTCCAATGGCCCATGAATTTTAACTTCTGCCAATTCATGACTTAGCGTGACCGCTAGCCAGTGTCTTCGGCGAGTATTTGTTCTCACACCCGACGTGCTGTACCCTAATGGTCACGACTTCTCACAAGAACCCCAGATAACTACCTACCTGAATAGGGCAAGTCGCTAGTGAGCACTCATTGTTATTCAAGTGTTAGTTTGTAGGGTTCGAATCTCTGTGGGTGCGTACCGACGAAGAGTCCCAAACTAGGACTATCCAGTACTCCCAGTTATTTTTTTATTTTACTATAAAAACACTCGTCTTATTTCCCATCTGATTGTATTTGATTGATAACACTAATATGATTTCTGAATGTACATTGGCGATAGGCAACACTAGGCAACTCTTTAGACTCATCACAGAATCGGGTGGGAGAAGGCAATTCATAAGTGAGACTATTTCTGAGAAAAATGGCTCCTTAATTAGCTCTCAGGATAGACGCCTTGAACGCTGGAAAGAACACTTTGAGGAACAATTTAACTTGCCTACAGCCACACTGAACCTCCCCGCCATCCACCACGTACCCGAATGGGATATAGACACTGGTCCGCCGTCTGTAGGTGAGGTTACAAAAGCTATCAGTAATTTGAAACGAGGCAAAGCGGCAGGACCCGACGGAATTATTCCGGAGGTGTTTAAATATGGGGGTGACATACTAGTTTGTAGATTAACTGAGGTACTAGGCAAAGTCTGGGAATCAGAGACAGTACCATCAGACTGGGGTAAGTCACTTATTATACCGATATTCAAGAAGGGAAACAAGTCCTCGTGTGATAATCATAGGGGGATCAGCCTAACGAACATAGTCTCTAAAATCCTAGGCTCAGTAATCATGCATAGACTAAGCAGAACTCGGGAGGAACAGACAAGGGAAAATCAAGCAGGCTTTAGACCAGGTAGAGGGTGCATAGATCATATCTTCACTCTTCGACAGATTCTAGAACATAGACACACTTTTCGGCGTCCAACAATTGTCATATTTCTTGACTTGAAGGCGGCCTTCGACTCCGTGGATCGAAAGGTACTATGGCAATGTCTGACTGTGAAGGGAGTGCCAAGAAAGTACATTGCACTAATCAAGGCACTCTATTCAAACTCACGTAGTCGTGTAAGGGCTTATGGGGAATTGTCATCTGAATTGGTAACAACCAGTGGTGTCCGACAGGGATGTCCACTTTCCCCATTTCTGTTTAACTTCATCATAGATATGCTAATGGAAGTATCCTTAACTGAACGTAGTGACTTAGGAATCGACTTGTTACCAGGGAATAATCTAATGGACTTAGAATATGCAGATGACATAGTCCTGTTAGGGGAGGATGCTGACAAAATGCAGAGTCTTCTGAACACCTTGAGCAGCAATCTTCGTATGTTTGGCATGCGATTCGCCCCTGCAAAATGTAAGATGCTGCTACAGGACTGGACCACGTCAACCCCTAACTTAGTGATAGGGAGTGAAGTGATAGAACATGTTGACCACTTCACCTACTTGGGAAGTTGTATTAGCACCAACGGACTGATTGGCGATGAAATCTCAGCACGGATCCGAAAAGCTCGAGCTGCTTTCGCTGACTTACACCATCTCTGGCGTAGGCGTGACATCCGGTTATCAACCAAGGGACGTGTGTACTGCTCATCAGTTCGCTCCGTCCTTCTCTATGGCTCTGAAACATGGCCAATACGCGTTGAAGACATGAAAAGGTTGACTGCTTTCGATCATAGATGTCTGCGATCTCTGTCTCACGTTAGGTGGTTTCACAAGATAAGTAATGTTGACGTTAGGCGTAGAGTGTTGGGCAAAGAGGGAAAATCAATCGACGAGGCTATAAAGTTACATAGACTAAGATGGCTAGGTCACGTGCTGCGCATGCCTAACCACCGCCTCCCCCGACGGGCATTGCTAGCTGATATAGGTTCAGGTTGGAAAAGAGCCAGTGGTGGCCAAACAAAAACATGGCATCAATCCATGAAATCCTTGACAGTTAAACTGAGTCAGGTAGGGAGATGCAGACTCCCGGGTTGGGGCCCTCGGGACTCTAGGAATCAATGGCTGGAGACAATAGGTGACATGGCTCAAAATCGTTGTCAATGGCGCAGATGTATTCAGTCTCTGTAATCTTTCATATTCCTTTCTACCATTACCCATTCTGTTTCACTCTTATATTTGTCAAACTCTATTGATTCTCTTCACTCATCTTCTTGTCTACCTTGTGTGCTATTTGGAACGTGGCAACTCGAACTGGTGCACTTCGGTGCCAAGTTCTATGTTGAATCCAGACAGACAGAGAATGTACATTAACTTGTACTGATATTTATTCAAATACCTAGTCAATTTCACTCATATATATAAATGAAGGAAGAAAGTTGTGTGAGTGACTTGATATTTTTATATTTTGATTACAGCTTGATTCCACACTGTGTTTTTTGGTACAAATATGGAATTTTCAGCAGGGATATCGGTAGCCCAAATTTTGCAGGCCGACAATAGATATAAGGTGTGCGTCGGCAGGGGATCGAACCTCGGACCATGTGCATGGTCGGCGAGAGTCCTAACCATTGTGCCTCCGATGTTCATGATTATGAACAGTAATAATTTGTGCTCTAAACGTTATCAGTTAATATTACTGTGCAACAACATTGTGTAACTTATCAAAATAAAATCTTATCTATGAAGGAATTCTATTTACCACTATTCTATATCGTAATTCTTAAGTCAAAGCTTAGCTATACTGAAATGTGAATACTGATTTATAAAAGTTAGTTTCCAAGCATTTGATTGGTTAGGTTTTAAGATAAAATCCCGGTAGCGAAAGCCTATTGATATGAGACAACCCTAAATTAGGACAAAACCACTAGATGTCCAGTACTCCCTGAGGGTTTTTTTCAATGATTCCCTTGATCCGATATCAGTCCGTGATCCAACTTGAAACAAATCAAAATTAATGTGATGTTTTGCTAGTGACTACTGACCACAGGACAAAGTTGACCAGAGTTCTAGTGAGTTCTAGTGTGACCAGTGGGATACACACCAGGTCAGGAGTCAGAACAAATACTCCCCAACGACAGCGGTTGGTGGTCGTAGTAGCATAACAAATTGGTAAAAGTTTAAAGTCATCCGCCATTGAATCGCGTCCAATTGGCTTGCCTTATGAACAGGTCGGTGTGTACTGTCGAAGAGTCCCAAACTAGGACGAAACCAGTACTCAATGCTGGTTTTTATCAGTTCCCTAACTGACATCAAACAGTTAACAAACTTGCAACAAATATCCATTTGTTTTAACAAAGAAAAACTTACAGCAGTAGACGACATAGCATTCTGTGGCGATATCGATTGTTTGTCGTTTTTTTGTTGTTGTTGTTGTTGTTGTTCAGTTACTGCATTTGACAATATTTCATGTAAATAATTATCATTTCCTGTTAAATTTACTCCACTCGATCCAACAGCATCCTGATCTTCAGTGCTTCTTTCATCAACTAGTGTTGATGTTGATTGACTCTCACCTACGACTACTACGGTCGCTTTTGTTGTTGGTGTTGTTGTTGTTGTTTCTTCACTGGCAGTATTAGAAGACGGTGATGTCGATGTATTAGAAGCGGCAGCGATAGCAGTAGAAGTAGCTGTTGTTGTGATGGTGTTGCTGGTGCTGGTGGTGGTGTTAACAGTAGACGACACACGAGTTGTACACACATCTTTGGCATTATTTTCATTTGATGCAGATGCTGAGGATGACGATGCTGATGCGTACACTGGTGATGCTGAAGAGATGTGCTGTTGTCCTTGTTGTTGTTGGTGTTGTTGGTCAATTGTTGTTGGTTTACTTTCAATAATTAAATGATGCAATATATCAACTAATATTTGAATTAATGGCATTAAGCCTAGTCGATAAAAAACTAGAATATAGATAGACGGTGATTTATGCAATAAACGAAGGCATAATTCTAATGCACGTAAAATTAATTCTTCTCTTTCCTATAGGAAATGAAAAACAAACCACAAAAAAATAACAATAAAGAAAGTAATATAGTCAGTCATTAGTTAATTTGTCTTCTGTCTAATGGATAATTTAATCATATAAATGATTGTATAGCACGTTAGAATTTTTAAAAAAAGATTACATTTACATACTGGAGAAGGATAGAGAGTCAGTGGCACAGAGGTTAGAACGCTCGCCGACCATGCACATAGTCCGGGGTTCGACCCCTGGCCATCGACTCACTCTTTTACCTTGCTAAGCTAGTAATAAGACTGGTTAAGAGGGAAGGTTGGACATGAGGCTGGCTAGCAACCCCATCCTGCAAAAATAATCACCACTGCTACAGAAACTTCAAGCCTCTAGTTTGAAGCCCTATATTCCCCTGGGAACGTGAAGGAATAAAAATAAAATTGGAGAAGGGGGAAACAAGAATACAGAGCGCGCCTAAATGACCTTCTGTTAGTTATAAAAATATTATTGATGTTAACTTGGAGGCGCGAAATTGAACTTTTTCACATTTCCAAGAATACCACCCTATCGATATTGCTCAAATTAGGGAACGTTAACCCTGGATTCCTACATTATGCTAAGCAGTATCAGGTCCTAGTTATTTTATTTTTTTTTATTTTTGTTTGCAGCTTGATTCGACACCGTATTTTTGGTACAAGTATGGAATTTTCAGCATGGATATCGGTAGCCCAAATTTTGCAGGCCGACCATAGATATCAGATGTGCGTCGGCGTGGGCTCGAACCCCGGACCATATGCATGGTCGGCGAGAGTCCTAACCACTGTGTCTGTCTGTCTGTCTTCAACACAGAACTTTGCACCGATGTTCAGCAGTTTACGTCGCCACCAGACACTCTGGGATCAAACCAGTCAAGAACCTACTGTCCAATAAATATTCCAAAGAAAATGGAGATGGATCGGACACATGCTGAGGAGACCGTTGGGAGAAATCACGCACCAGTCAGCCCCTAGGGTGAAAAATGAACTGGAAACGACGAGTTGAGCGTATGTCCAAATTTGAAATGGAGGGTATCGTGTGAGGAGATAAGAGTCAATGAGCAATCGTATAGCCCCCTAAAGAGTATTGCGGAGAACGGGACAAAATGGAAGCGTTCTGTTGAAGCCCTAAGATGCACTCGGAACCCAAAGGAATATTATTTAATAAATAAACTGCATAAAGGCAATATTCCAGCAGATTTTGATCATCTTTCGACCGTAAAACACTTCATCATCACCGACGGACTTCAGAAAAATCATCAGTACGTATTAGACCCCAGGTCAGTAATTCTTTAAGCTGATAATTATCTGTCTTGCCATACAAATGACAGAATTCGCTAGTGTCACCTGATGCCATGGCATATATGGGACAACAACAACAATGGATTCAGTGTCTACAAATACTTTAAAAGCTTATGGAGCATTATATGATAACATTTCAAATAATTATCCTCAATATTCACGCAGAAATTAATTCAGAAAATGGTAAACAAAACAACAAAAGCAACAGCAGCAGTAGTGAAAACCATGGAACTCACCTCAATTAGCACAGTGTATATCATTTGTGTTAACGAAAAAGCGAATGGAACTGACTGATTCTCCATTAAACTGATTGCTTCCAGATGATCAGGGTGCATATAGTGAATCATACGCCAAACCAATAGTGTACATTGATGTCTATGTAAAGATTATAGGTGTGAAACAACAAACAGTGGATACAAAATTATTTAAAAGTAACGATATCTTTTAGACATGTCATTGAACTGGCAAATTACACATAAATACAAAACGAAAGGGATAATCTTAATCAGCTACAGTTCGGCGGTGTAATCTATTGACTATCCCAGAATACAAGAAGGGTGACAAGTCTTTCTGTGATAATCACAGGGAGATTAGCTTGACTTATATGGTATCTAAAATTGTAGGCTAAATAATCATGCATAGACTAAGCGGTGCTCGGAAGGAACAAGCACCAGAAAATTAGCATGGTTTAGACCAGGAAGAGGGTGTATTCATCATATCTTCACCCTTCGACAGATTCTGGAAAATCGGCATATTAGCTGGCGTTCAACAGATGCCACATTTTTCGATCTGAAGGCGGCATTTGACTCTGTCGACCAACAGGTACTACGGCAATGTTTGGCTGTGAAGGGAGTTCCGAGAAACTACGTCGCACTAATCAAGGCACTCACGCAGCTAGGTAAGAGAGTATTCATCTGAGGTGATAACAGCCAGCGGTGTCAGTCACGAATGCCCAATATCCCCATTTCTATTAAATTTCATCATAGATGTACCAATGAAATTGACCCTATCCGACTTCAGAGACTTAGGAATTGACTTGTTACCACGGAATAGTCTTGCTGACTTAGAATATGCAGATGATATAGTCCTCCCAACTGGGTGAAGACGCTGACATAATGCAGAGTCATCTGAACACCTTGAGCAGAAAGTTTCAAATGTTGGGCGACCAGTACGCTCCTGTCAATTGTAAGGTGATTCTGCAGAACCGGACTACATCAACTCCTAACTTAAGGACAGAGAGAGAAGTTATATCAGCTCCAAAAAGCTAACTGTTGACGAAATCTCAACACGCATGTAAAAGGCTGGTGTAGAACTTCCTAACTTACGCCATCTCTAACGTAAACGTGATATCCGACTATCCATCAAAGGACGTGCGTATTGCGAACCAAATAGATCCGTCCTCTTTTATCGTTATCAGACATAGCCATTGAGAGTGGAAGAAACGAAGAGGCTAGTTGTTTTTGATCACAGGTGTCTGAATTCTATCTCTCATATTATGCAGTATAACAGGATGAGTAATATTGAGATTAGGAGTTGAATATTAGGTCAAAAGAGAAAGTCAATACATGAGGTTGTGTAGATGAATCGACTGAGATGGCTAGGACAAGTGTTACGCGCCCTTAGTCATCGCTGATAATTACTTTGAGCCACGTAGGGAAGTGTAGACTATCTGTTTGGGGCATTCAGGATGCTAAGAACCAATGGATGGATACAACGGCCCAGATGCATTAACTATTTGTGACTTGACATATCCATTAAATTTTCAAGAGTTAATTTGTAAGGATTCAGTTTGTTTTGCAAGTTTGAAAATTAATCTGATGTTCGCTATTGACTTGCTACAGAACGGCGTTTGCTGGAGTTCTACTCAGAAGTCGTAACCAGTGAGGTCCATCCAGTCGGGAGTGAGGATGGATTTCCCGCCGATGACATTGGTTAGGGGTTGCACTAAATCAAGAATTGGTAGAAGTTAGAATTCATGGGCCATTGAATCGGGTCCCAGTGACTGAATGATCTACGAGCTTGCCTTGTAACCGGAAGGTCATGAGTTCGAACCTCAGTGGGTGCGTAATGCCGATGGTTCCCAAACAAGGATATCCATGTTACTATTCTATCTCCTCTACGTATCTGCTCATAACTGTTCTTTCGAATCTCTTTTTCTCTCTTCTGTCTTCCTTTGTGTGATGCATCGAGTGCGGCAACTGGAACTGCTGCACTTCTGCGCAAAGTCCTATACTGTGAAACCAGTCAGTCGGTTAGCTATAGTATAGCATATATAACGGAAAGACTATTTTATATGCACGATTATTTATAGGAATTTCACTTTAAAACAATTAGTCCCTCTAATACATTTGTGCATAGCGTTATTACAAGATAAAATTTAACTGAAAAAATGAAATAAAGTTGCACAATACATTAACGCCCATCCTCTGTATGTGTGTGTACAAAAGCAACTTATCATTACCACCCGTAATCCTACCTTAGTAATCCTTATCGGATTATAATTATCAAAAAGTTGTGTTTCTTATTCTGCTCGATATTCTTAAATTCCTTATCACTTATTTTAAAGTTTTAACTTGCCTTTCATTTTTCATATAAATTCATTTGACAAGTGTGTGTGTGGTCAGATGTGCTAAATGTATTTCACAAACAGATACATCACATTTTTTCAAATAAACTCCATCATCTAATAACGCTAGTCAGTTTGGAACACTTCATCAGTACGCAGCCGCCGGGGTTCGAACCCAAGGCCTTGCGATCACAAGAAGAGCTCATAGACGATCCCCAGCGATTGTATGGTTCGGTGGTAGAATACTCGACAACCACACCCCAAGTGGTCTGGTGTTTGATTCCTGGTCGACAGACTCCTAAACCCCATTTAGCTAATAATAAGCTGCTCAGTAAAGAGGAAAGGTTGGGCTGAGGAGGCTAGAAACCTCAGACCGTGAACATGAAAGACCACTGCTACTGGAACTTCCGAGCTCAAGCTTGAATCTTTATGTTCCCCACTCGGGACACAAGTGAATACAATAAAAATAAGTAATAAATAATACATTACCTTACAGATGATGATGTACTTTCTCGAAAGAGTCCAACTAACAAAGGAAGCAGTTGATGAACAAATAAACGTTGAGCTTCAGCAGGATCATCGTTATCTCGGTTATCAGCACCATGCTTATTATCAAGCGAAAGTGATGCGGAGGAGGAGGAGATGGAAGAGGAACCATCCGTTGGTTTATCCGGCTTATCTAAGTTTGATGATAAACCTCTTAAACTGACTCCTGGAATCAAACAAAAAAGTGAAAGTAAAACATGATATTTAAAAAAAACTGCCATATCATTTAATGATAGGAATGTGTTATATGCACACATACAAATTACGACTGAAAACATACTTTTTTAACTTCATAACCTCAATCTTTCTTGTGTAAACAAACTAGTTCCACTTAAGACATCCACCTCAGTTAAGCTACGTAAAAATTGATTCAGGAAAATGATAACACTTATTTTTTTATAGTATTTTTCCATGGGGTTGCGAATGGAACATAGGGCTTCAACAGAACATCTCCACTTTGTCCTGTTCTCTGTAGTCCTCTTCAGCTGACTCATCAGCTTTCATCTCGTCCTTCTCACACAATCTCCTCTAAGTCACCACCCTCCAAAACACACCCAACTTGTCATTACCCATTCGGGTTCTACTCGAGCAATGGCCTATACTGAGAGCGATGTCATTCAACGGCCTCTTCAGCGCGTGTGTGTCTCACCCATCTACATTCTTTCCGGGACATTTGCTGAGCAATAGGTTCTTGATTGCTTCACTCCCAGAACTTCTTGCTGGTGATTCTTTCTGCCTCACCATGTGATCTTCAGTATGGAGCCAGAGGCGACTGTTGATAATAGTCTGAAGCCCCCTTGTTCGAAATACTTTTCGTTACGCTCAAGCCATGTTCCTGACCCACATAGAAGGACTTATTGACTTTACTTTAGTGTTGGAAATCTCAAATTTATTCTTTATGTCAAGTGTGGGAGATTTCCACAGTGATTTCTGAGTGATAAAGATCTATCTTGACCTTCCGATTCCAATCTCAACAACACTTTAAAGGTATTACTGTAACGACAAAAGACAAGGGCTAGGCAACAGATCGTTTATTGAGAAAATAAAGAGATATTTATAGATTTTTATGTACATTATTATTAGCATTATCGTTAGCAGATAAGCATGCTCTCCTGATTGGTTGTTTTCCTGCTGAAGGTTATTCTGTCATCTCTTTGCAATCGTTTCTTAGGTCAGACCATATATCTGCGAATCGAATTTGCACACGTTAATCCTGCTGTGAATGGTTGGTGAGTTCCTCAAGGTTAAGCCTTGTTATTGTTTCTTTCTCGTGACCCCGATTCGGGACGTAAACATTGACGTAAAACGTTGTCTACAGCTTTGGCTTGCAGACAGCTCTCACCACATTACAATATGGGGAAACATTCTACAATGTTGTTCACTAACTTTTTTACAGTATATGGACCACTACATAATTGGATTACACTTAAAATACATACGTATTAGTCTCTCTCCTCTGTCCCCTTCCTACACTTCGCTGATATTATTACTACGAGTGCTAGCATTTTCTGTCGAGCTCAAGTATATACACTCCCAATAGTGAGAATAGAAACAAGGGGCATCAAAAAGAAAAGTTTACTTTACGAAATCCAAAAAGCCAATAGTATAACATAAACAAGTCAAGTGTATGATAATATGAAATAACGAAATCTAAGATTTGCATGAAACTATATACTACTGATTTATTGAGATGAGTAGTCGTATATCGCCGTATGCCAACCAGCAGTGTTTGCCAACTAGCCTGATCACGGTGATATCTCGTTTGGGACCGATCGCATCGGAGGCGTACCCGGTTTAACTCAGCTTAGAGAGATGAATCAGTTACAACCATCATCACCCGCGATTCCTGGCCCAGCTAACTGGACAAACTCGTGATACCATAAATCTTATTCAGAATTTGCAAACCATACAATTTCAAGGGGTGAAATTATCACCACAGTTTCCTTTGGAGGCCAAAATTATTCAGATCACAACCTGTGACTAACTGAGATGAGTAGCTGGATGCACAACCCCCTCCCCTCGCCACCCCATATCAACCAGCAGTGGTGCTTGACTGGCTAGCCAGAAAATTTGAGAGCTTAGAATACAAATTAAACTGAATCACACCTAGTTGACTAATGGCTGATGACTGGTGCAGTCAACACTCTACTAATTACCATATACACAATTATGCATATGGTTTCTGATATATTAAGTAAAAATATAAACATTCTGGAATTCATTAATATGAACCACATGAGAGTATTAATATCATGATGGTTATAAGTAAATAAACTTTACTAATGTATATCACGATTCTGATGCCAACATGAAATAAATACACTGTGTGGAGCTTTTCTCTCACTAATTTGGTAGTAGAAAAATAGTCACCCCATTATCGAATAGAAAAATTATAATAATAATAATATTTGTGACCAGAACTTTATACACAGTAATATTTTGAAAGGTTCTAGTAGACACGGTGTTCGGAGTTCTGTTCCATACAGTGACACACTGAAACGGTAAAAGACGAAGACTTGGTAAAGGAATAATGCACAACTTATCTTCACCGCACCATTCGCACAGACCTTTGTGTTGTGGTGCAACGACAGAAGACAAGGGTCAGGCAACAGATCTTTTATTAAGGAAATCAACACATATTTATAGATTTTAATGTGCATATTACAGATTATTGTTAGCAGAAAAACAGAGTCTTCTGACTGGTTGTTTCTCACAGAAAGTTAACCTTGCATCTCTTTGTGGCTGTTTCTTGAATGTCAGATCATCTATATGCTAACTGTATCCGCCTACGCAAAGCCTTTCTTCTCATTTTTCTCACGACCAATATTGGGGACATAAACATTGACGTAAATTACTGTCCACCAATTTTGGCTAACAGCCAGCTCTCACCACAGTGATACTTCTGGACTTCATGTTGTGTTTCTTTGTGTTCATTTCACGTCTCCCGTGTATCTCCACACAGTGTACCGTCTCACTTCTCTGAAATCAAATATATCTCCCTGCTGTTTAATGTTTTTTATACCGACGAACGTCTCCTTATATGTACTACTGATAAATCTTAACAGTAGCACTCGCCACAACACCATCTCACATGGTACACAAAAAAGTTACTTGAAGATACACACGTGGTGTTTCACACAGCATGAGAAGTTCTGAATTCAATATGTGTTATCTGAAGCACAGAAAACTAACCTTAATACATAAGCAGTATACACTCACAGTTGTAATCCATCGACATAAACAATAAAATCCCAATTAACTGGGTCACGCTTTCAGCCTGCTTTATATAGAAATTATCCTTTTCTACAAGGTAGTTAGCCTGGGCAACTGGCTAGTATCACCACAACCCGGCCCATAGCCCGATACCGGATAACTGAGTTCTCGTCAGTTACAAGGTGGTTAGCAAAAATCTTTGGTTACACTTAACCAATTAGCAGGTACATGCATACCACCAAAAACAAATTATAGGGAATCAATTAGAATAAGCTCACTTTTTGCCTCTGCCTCCAACATATCAATAACTTGATGTGAACCCGGAAAATCTGGATGTTCACGTGCTCGATCTATAGGTCTTCTACCTTGTGCATCTCGTTTGTTTATATCAGCACCCCAATTAAGCAGTGTTCGGCATACATCAACACGTCCAAATGAAGCAGCATAGTCTAAAGGACTACGGACGCCTAAATTGACATTTGCACCATGAGCACATAAAAGTTCAACCATAGCTGGTGATCCAAATGATGCCGCCCAGTTTAATAATGTTTGACCCAAATGATCCATGTAATTCACATCAATTTTTCCAGACTTTAAACTGCACTTCATGAAATCTGGAAAATCATAAAACAAAAATTACATGTCACTACTAATGTGAAAATTAAAACATCTTTTTATACATGCAGTCACGCCCCGTGTGCTACACACAAAAGGAAAAAATGGAAGGAAGAGACTCGAAAGGATGATAATATTATCGTTTATATAAGCAGGAGCACCGGTGGCACAACGGTAGAGTGCTCGTCGGCCACGGATGTGGTCCTGGGTTCGACCCCCGGCCGACGCACTCATAAACCTCGGTAAGCCAGCAATAAGACTGGTAAAGAGGGAAGGTTGGGCATGAGGCTAGCAACCCTATCCTGTAAAAATGATCACCACTGCTACAAAAACTTCAAGCCTCTAACATGGAAAAACAATAAGGTTTAATGGATATGGGAGATCACAGATCTGCATCATTGAGAACGATTTCTAGCCACATCACCAATTATCTGCAGCCATTGGTTCTTAGAATCCTGAGGACTCCATGCAGGCAGTCTATACCTCCCCCTACGTGACTGGTTCAAACTAACTGTTAAAGACATCATGGACTTAGTGCATGTTTTCATTTGACCATCAATAGATTCTTTCCTACGTCAGCTAACATTTCGCGTCGAGGAAGGCGATGCGTAACAAATGTCTTAGTCACCTCAATCGATTCACCTCCACAACTTCATCGATTGACTTACCCTTCTTACCTAACACTCGATGTCCAACCTCAATACTACTCACTGTATTATACTACTTAACATGGGAGATAGAACTCAGACACCTATGATCAAAAACAGCTTGTCTTTTCATGTCTCTCACTTTCCTTGGCCATGCATCACACCCACAAAGGAGGACAGAGTTAAGAGGTCGGCAGTACACACTTCATTTGATGGATAGCCAGGTGATTATCACGTCTACATCAGAGACGGTGTAAGTTGGGAGATCCCACGCGAGCCTTTGGTATCTGTTCTGAGATTTTGTCAGCGACGAGCTGCCTATTAAGGCTGATCCTACTTCACAAATAACTGAAGTGATCAACACACTACCACTTCAATCACTCCCCTCTGTCTTTAAGCAAAGAGTCGACAAAAACACACACAAATGCATGTCGCTTGAAATTACTACGTCGTTTTACTAACCCGTACATTTTAATCTGTTAATCTATCTGCTGTGTAGGAACACAGATATACAATATAGGCGCGTCTGTATATACGACGCAGTCCGTATTTCAAAATATTAGGTAGCAATACACACACACAGGATAGATTGAGATGAAATCTTAGGCACTAACAAGATTATGATTGATACAGCCTTTTAGTGTGACAGTGAAATTGCCTCGTCTACGATAATGAATCAAAAACATTAATACGCGCATGACACACTATTGTAAGGTCATCAAATAAACCATTAGAAAACTTTTTTATCATACCAATGTCTTGTCGTTTTATAGCTTCGATGAAATGACGATGAATAGCATCTCCTTCCCAAGAATGTTGAGATTCCAATGCACTATCACTTGCGTGTTTAGGTTGTTGTTCAATACACTGTGAATTTTCGGCATGCTCAAGAATCGATACAGAGGTTGTAAACTCAGTCTGTTTGGACGATTGACCTTCTAAGGGTTCTTTTTTGAAAGTATCATGTTTATTAGTAGTAGTCTCTACTGAAGTAGATTCATTCGCCTCTTCTGTCTTCTGCGAGGAATCATCCAACTTTGGTTGAAGATTATGATGCTGCTGATGATGATTTTGATAGAGTAATACCAAGAGAATTTCTATTAGTCGTAGAACACTAATCACAACTAACTCATCAGTGCTACGTTGAACAACCATAGCCAATGTCATAGCAAATTGGCCATCATTAGTTAAGAGTTTACGTGTTATACTCAAAGAATTGCAACAAAGCGAAGTCAGTATACTGGTCACTGCATGAACAACAACTGGATTGCTTTCAGATGGACCTGAAAGACCATCACGACCACCTCCAGATGTATCTGCTGGTTGATCTATAATGGAAAGATATAAAATAAAATCATCAACCAGTCAGTATCTTTTGAAAAGAATAAATGATGATAGTAGACAAAAGATAAATGTACCTGACCTCAGATTGCTTAACAAAAACGTGTCTTCAAGTTCATTACTAACCTATCAGAAAAGCTGAACTTTGGAACACTCATAGTAGAAAGAGGAGCTCTGAAAGCACAGATCAATAGAACACACGCAAACGATAAGGTGGTATATGACAGCACTAAAGAACTCCATGACTCAATGAGTTATAGGCATATGTGTGTAGCTGTTTAGACTCAAAAGAGTCAAGTGTGAAACATCCTGAACAACTATACACTAACCTTCATATTTAAACTGTTAATTGATAACAGGTTGTTAATTTCACTTTCAGACGCAAGCGTAACTTACCTGAACTGGTTAGTTCGTGTGGTTCTACTATCATAGATGGCACAGCAGCTGAAACTCAGTCAATGTCAAATACCTTTAACTGCATACTTCCTCCGATCCCTCTTGGTCTTCCAACATCATGTTAGTTTGTAGAAAGATGTTTGGTTGAACTGTCTACGTACGAAAGTTAAAACAATCTGGTATCACTCGGTCAGTCTCTACAGTTACACTTTGTTAATTCTTGCATTCCGTTTATCCTCGTTTACTGCTCCCCGTTAATCTTTTCTGGACTACTTAAAAAAGGCCTTTGTTATAGTGAGAAGGGCACTAAAAGGTGTCGTTAGTAGGACGAGTGGGATGTCTTTTTAACCAACTTAGTAGTACTGTTGCAGGTGTACTCATGCGAGAAATTAGCGAATATTATCCTGTTGGACCCTAAGGATCCTTACTTACTTTACTTCGGCTATCTCCTACGGGAGGATGAGCCGGCTTCATGAACCCATGAAGTTTCATGGGAATTGGGTAAGAGTGATGTCCCCAGAATCGCTCGGCCTTTTGTTTGAGAGTGCAGCTCTAGCCTTTACACAACCAAGTGTGACCTACAAGGCAGTAGGAGTGGAGTAGGGAGTCCACTATCCATTGGCAGCCGGTGACCGGAGTCCGGTTCATACGCCTTTTTGAGTGGGGCCAGACATCCACGGCATCCAAAAAGCCCTTTGTCCATACGTCTGTCGGTGAGCTTCATACGCCTAGGGATCCACTCTACACACAACCCTCTCCTAACATCCCATCAGGTAGAACTAGAAGCAACTATAGGCGGGGTGTAGAAGTGTAAAAATTGTACAACATACCTTATTTGACAGGCACACATTTTATGTGATGAGAAAAGTGTAAGAGAGGAAACTGAAAAATTACTGCGAAACACTACAAGAACGGACCTCTTTTTCCTTTTACTTTATAATACATTGTTGTTAATATTTTCACTTAATTTTATATTCATATTCATTTTGAACAATATTACTAATATAAATCAGACTATAAGTTCACTTACTAGAACCAGAAGAATCCGTCGTCAGTTCACTATCAACTTCAACACCACCAGCAACACGAAGTCGTTGGAGAAGACAATCAATAATATGCGGATCGGCAAGTGGAGTAGGATCTGTGCCTGTTCGAGTAAATCGAGCAACTAAATTAGCGAATGCCCGCAGTGCTTGATCAGCTACACCTATTTCTCGACGATCTAGTAGTGAACTCAAGGAATCAATCCAGCTGGTTAAATTCTTATCTGTTGGATCAGCCCTTGTAAATAAACGTCTAATGATATCCATTCCAGCCTGAAGGACATCAGCGTGAAGCAAGTGTGGATACAAACGTATGTAACGCAATACAGAGGTCAATCCTCCTGCCGTGTATACAGCTCCAGGTTCTCGTGTACAAATAAGCTGCAACATCTTAAAAAGAATTATAAATATTTGATAAGACAAAAATATTAAAAAGACTTAGTTATTAAATTTTAAGTTAAACCACCCCACAAGCGAAGAAATTTTCAAGTTTCTAAAATGTCAGTGAAGTGTAAGCTACGTTCGATTTCTCAAAATTATTGTTATTATTCACTTGGATTACGAGTGCAACATAGAGCTACAACAGAACAACTCCATTTCACCGTGTTTTCTGCGGTCCTCTTTATCTGGCACCACGATTGACCATAAGCTCTCTTCTTCTCCTCACACGATCTAATCCATGTCACACTCGGACCCAAGTCCAACTCATCGTCCCCCATTCGGGTCCCAGTCGAGAGACTGACGCGCGACGACGCCCAACGGTCTCCTCCACCTGTGTCTAAACCATCTATATTTTCTTCACCATATTCGTTGGATAACCGGTTCTTGAATGGTTCGTTCCCAGAGTTTCGTGTTTCTAATTCTTTCTAGCCAGATATCTGATCTTTAGTACTCAGTGAGAGCAGTTTAAATTTATAAGCCTTGAATTATTGTCATACATTGGTTTCTCCGAAAAGTTAACAATATAATTTTTTAAGCCACCAGGCAGTGTTTAATTTCACTACACAAAAGGAGTGCATAAGTTAGCAATAGTTTCTCAACGTCAGAAAATTTAAACAACCTCTTAAATTACCATCTAAGCATACCGAAAGATTCTATGAATACGCATCTAAAATCCTACTGGAAATCAAAAAAACTCTGTTAGGTTGCATAGATTTACAGTTCATATAGTAACCGACAATGAAAGTATCTTCCCATTCTTTAAATACAATATATTTGAAAAGGCAGGATCGAGTGGCTTAAGTGATTTTCTTAGAATTTCTTATTTTGTATTCATAATGGACAGGGAGCTTAATCAGCCAGCAATAAATAGTTCAGCATATTTTCACTGGTCTCTTGGTGACAGAATTTCCCCCTTCTGATTTGCCTTCACAACACTTAATTACAGTTAACTAGGAACAACGTATTGGATAAGACTTTTTTTCCTCAGCAGAACATAGGGCTTCAAGCTAGTGGCTTTAAGTTTCTGTAGCAGTGTTTATTTTTACAGGATGGGGTTGCTAGCCTTTACGATTCCAGTGAGTCACAGGGCTTCAAGCTAGAGCTTTGAAGTTTCGGTAGCAGTGGTGTTTATTTTTACGGGGCGGGGTTGTTAGCCTTATTCCCAACCTTCCCTCTTTACCAGTCTTACTACCGGCTTAGCGAAGTAAAGGAATGCGCCGGCCAGAGATCGAACCCCAGACTATATACGTGGTTGGTGAGTACTTTATCGTTAGGCCAACGACGCATAGATAAGGATATTACTATCATTTTACTATTTTTCCCCTGGGTTCCGAGTGGAACATAGGGCTTCAACAGTACGTCTCCACTTAGTTCTATTTGCTGCTCTCTTCTTTAGCTGGGGCCCACGATTGCCATAGTCTCTCATATACCCATGTCACCTTCGGACGACCTACTCATTGTTTCCCATTTGGGTTCCACTTGAGGGCATGATGCGCGATGTCATTCAACAGTCTCCTCAGTGTGTGACCAGACCATCTCCATTTCAAACATATTCGTTGAGCGATACGTTCTTGATTAGTTTGTTCCCATAGTTTCTTGTTGCTAGTTCTTTCTGACCATTTCATCTTCAATAAGGAGTGAAGGCAGCTGTTGATAGAATCCTGAGACAATACTATTAGACATGATGATTCAAAGTAACACGATGTACCCCTAAATGATCAAGTTATCCAATGATAAACTATATTATAGTAGGACAGTAGTCATTTAGTAGTGACTCTGCTTATCTATGAATAAATGAATCTTGTTATTTAAAACAATCCCTGCTGACCTTTGGGAATATTTTCACTTAATAATAAGTAATTCATTCGGTTGGTCAGCGATTCTAACTCCAATTTTTAGTCAGTGAGTGTCCAAAGACTTCTATTACTCAGAATAAACCAAGCAAAACTCCAAACAAACAGATACACAAATTTTTCGAGTGGCTTTATGAACGATTAATGTAGTCTTGGACCACGGAAGCACTTGCATTTTAATACAGCAATTAGCTACACGAGTCTGACGGGTCACAACAATACTACCACAGCAAACGGTTTGAAGTTCGGGACGGTAACTCACTAACTTAGAATTGATTGCCTAGATAAGTGAGTTTTAGCTTCATGTAAATAAGATAGAACTGGTGTTTCAAACTAGACATCACGAGGCATATCATTTCCAACCTGACAGGAGTCCCTGTCTGCCTTATGATTAATGTAAACTGACTTTAGTCATACCAAAATGCTAAGAGAAAATCTTACTTTTATAATCTGCTGTCCAAGTTCATTACTTTTAGCCGATGTCATATCAACTGCATCCAATCTGGAAGTCATTGCTGTCAATACATTCGGTGAACGTGCAATTCGTGGAGCACAGTCTAAACTGACATCTAAGTAATATGTGAGAGCACGAGCATTCGCTTCCAAAACTGAGTCTGGGGCCAATTCATCCAAAAATATTTTACACAAAGCAGGTATAAAAAGACGTGGTGGATAACGCTCAAAGAAGACATCAATATTGTCAGAGAAGAGGACTTCGTTGCATAGTTGTTCCAGTGCTGTTAGCTGCAACTCTCTGAGATCATCATTTGCAGCGTCCAACCATTCTAAAACAATAGCTGGATCAGCTTCCATTGGGTTGGACTAAAGGAACTCCTAAATCAAAATTTAAAAATACAGGGTGTAAAAGTTGGCAGAAAAATAATAGACAAAAGAAAAACCCTCAGAGAGGAAGCTGATTTATTTGTTATCCCTCATCCCCTTTCCCAAATCGGATTAAAAGGTATGCCCAGCAAAGGCTACAGAACACATCAAAATATGTGCCAAAAGAGGTTTTTCAGCATAATATGTCAATTATAATGTAAACTGAGGTTTCAGCTGAGATATGGAATTATTACACCGGAACACATTTCCTAACGCAATTCATTGAATTTTCTCCAGTTACTGTTTCACTGCGTACGAAATAGTTACGCCATAACAGCAACAACTTTTTGTGGAGCATAATACTAATGTCAGAAAAATATAAAACAAACAAATGCATACGGAAAATATTAGCATTACGACTTTGCCAGGAATTTAGGGAGGCAGCCTAAGAGAAATGAGCAGACTAGTGAAATAAATGGTTTCTCAAAAGAACTGTTATTACGCCTGTCAAAAATATTGGCATCAATCAATCAGCAGAAACTACTTTTAAAATAATCAAGTATTTCAGCGACTATGAACGACTACCGAAAAGCATGTCCGAGGAAATTTAAATCCTGAGAACAAATGAGTCGCACCCAAATGTTGATTTTATTACTGAGTAAATTACAGAAAAACCCCGAATATCTTTTTCTCAAATGATTCGTAACTCCGTCCTGAAAACTAAAATTTTCAAGGAAGTGCACTCATGAGTGAAATCTGTGGAGTTTGCAATGAATGTTTGACCATATACTGCTACCGTGAAGACACAAGGATAATATTTAAGGGATAATTTTCTGGCAAATCACACTAAATAGACGACTGCAAATGAACCTGAATTCCGACTGGACAGAGATATAACTTTTGTTGTTCCCAGGAAGCTGCACTATGCATATTTTCTCTTCCACGAATGTCACAGCGTTTTCTGCCGCAAATGAATCATTATAAACAAGTAAAAACCACTTTACGTGCTATTTTAAAGGGCGGAAAACCGTTGACTTACTCATGCAACGCCAGTCTTACGTTTGCCGCGTAATCCAACTTCCAATGTACAATTTCCTTGTGAAAAGCTCATCCCATACACCTTTTTACACTCCTTGGCACTGTTTATAGCCCTCATATGATGCAGGAATATTTATGTAAATCACTAATGAGTTCCCTGTCGGGCGTACTCAAGGAGAGAAAAATTTTTATCTATACAGTTCTTTGACGATTAACTCTCAGTAGGCAACACAAGTAATTTCAGTTTTGTCCTCCCAGAAGTGCATCTGTGGTGAACAATCTGTGGCAATAATTATTTTGGGGAACTCTCCATTCAGCCGTAATTCTTCAGCAGCTAGGAATACAAATGTATAGCTTGTTCATCCTACTCTTTAGGGCACGAATTCCAACCAAATAAAAATTATATTGCGAACAAATGAATAATCTCTAAGTGACTGACGTCTTTATCGAGGCGCCGATGCGACTTAAGCACATGCCTATGTTGTTTACCCATCCAGCTACCTAGGGACTAGTCAAACATCGTCTGTGACCTCACCTGAATGCCTCAGGTATCTGTGTTACGTATCCATTTATAATGTCAGGTAATGCACCAATACGACAGTCCAGAAATCAAGACTAGAACCCTTGGCCTAACAACACCAAAGTCCACTTTTAAACTTTTTATGATAATTACTGTGTGTTTCAGAAGACGTTTCGAAATTATGTCTAGTTGAATGACCTATCTAACAAAGTAGCAACTCAAAAGGTATTTGAAAATTCAACTGGTGTACTGTGGCCTTGTTTGTTCGAATTAGTTCCCCCCGCGTTAGAGGGAGTTGGTCCTAATTAGGCTCTACAGCTTTCTGCTTGATGAAAGATTGAAGGCACACGATCAGATATGTAATTGTACATTGTATTCTCGTTAGTTTATAGACCTTATTATGGCAAGCAACAGTGAACCATGCCATAGACCTCACGGCGTATAAGTGACTCTGATGTATTGTCAGCTGAACGTCAAGTCACCTTGAACTTTGAGCTACTGAAAACAAAATTTTCTATCAACTCACAATCTCCAGTCACAAAATGTCTCCAGATAGTATTGTGTGCTACCGCGCAAACTTAATAATGGGGAAAAATTTACACGCTCTTGTTTAATTTCTGCTTCAGTTGTTATATGCTCCAAAAGTCTATAGGTTAACTTTAAATCAGTTTATTCTGATCAAAGTTGATTTACCTTTTAGTTTTGAGTCTGTTTACTCATAGAAAATGTATTCTTATAACTTTATAGTTACTGTGTGCCAATATTCGTACACTCACTGGTTCCTTTTTACCACTGATTTACATGAAGTACACATATAAGGTCATATTTGAACCTTCTAGTCCCGATTCACTCTGAAAAGTACGCTTGTCAAAAGAAATCTCTGCGTAAGAGTTACTCGTCAATTCCCAGTTGAAGAAAGCATGCAGTATGATAGCTGCAAGAGATGATCTCATTGCTTTGGACAAACCTAACTCATGTAGCATGCTGGCTCTGTTGCAAACCTCTGGCGAACTGGCTATGCGATGACTGCTCTAGTGTGACTAAGTCTCGTTTTACGAAGCCACTGCCACTGTCAGTGGGGCTTCAAAGCTCTCGGACTGCAAAGGTCCTCTGTCACAGGAGAATAGCGACTATCATCCATGACGTGACTAGCGTCGTCGACAAGATAATACACGTTCCTGACGGGTCTCTGTTGGGGATTGATTCACATAATGTCTTTAAATATGATGATTTTCTGACTATCATATGGAGTCGTCCTCAAATACTGACTAATCCTCGTCACTGTGGTTGGCGGTGTGCATTCTGGTGTGCAAACTTAATAACATATCTTTGCTCCAATTCTTTAGGACTACCTGCAGATCACTGACTTACAAAGTGGATTTTCTCCGACCCTCATATATGTATCGGAATTCTGGTGTTTTAGCTGTGTGACAGACTTAGTTCCACTAGTATTACGACGATAACCTGATTTCATTAGGTGGATATGGTATTTTCCTTCAGAAGAGATACAGTTTAAAGAAAAAGCCTGACGGTGGCCACGTTTAATGCCCATTTATGCAAAATATATATTATTATTAATCATCCTTGTTTTCACTTTTCCAATAACGATATAGACCGTACCCCTGTTAGATGTCATCCGAAGAATTCAAGTGAATGTAACTATATATACACGACAAATGCTTATATAACTCCGCATTGTAGTTCCTTAGATATATCTGTTTCCGCAGACAAATTTACTGAGATTTCTGCCCCTTATTTTGGAAATGCCATGTTAAAAGTCAGTGAGGAACTAAATTCACACACCAACGCCTTTCTCATGACGACTGGACATGATAAACTAGTCAAATTCATCACTCGTCTATACACGACCCAAGAATAGATTTTCATTATCCGTACGGGGCACAAAAGAGAGCTCTGTCAGTGTAGTTGAAGATTGAACGATCAATTCATGGTTGTTCGCTCAAACCCGACTCCATATCAGAAGTATTATTGTGATTTATTGTTATAACATTTATTCTTAGACTTTGTGTACAATAACTTAGTGGTTGGCTCTGTATTGGTGCAAGAATAAACGGTCACTAATTCGCGTTCTGGTTTTTCGTGTTAGCTATTACGCATAGCTTCTGAAAGTGTTCCAAGGACAGCGTGAGGTCCAGTGTAGAAAGAATTGCACACTGTCAAGCTCTGTCTCTGAATTGTGACCATTTTATTACCTGTATTTAATCGAAGGTATATGACAACTTATGCAGAAGTGTTTAGAATACGCAACTGCCCTTGACTCTATTCCTGGAGCACTTACTAAGCAGGCTGATGTCAATTCACACTGAATGCAGAATCACAGGGTGGCCGTCTATTTATTTTTCGACTAGAAAACAACACGATCCTTTAAGCAGAAGGCGCCCCAATTCTTTACTAACGGAAAATGACGTTCCGAAAGGTTATTTATTCCCTCCATTTCTTTTCTCTTTTCGCCTGACGTTCCCTATTTTTCCGAAGCCAATACCACTAAATATGCCCATGATTTGATAAGTAGTATTTCAGTGATAATTGAACTCAACAATCTGGAAGATTAGATCTCGAAGGACGAACTGACCTGTAAGATGTCTCACGGATTTCTGTTAGGCCCTTGGGTTGGCATCTTGACATGGGCCCAAGCAGGCTTTTAGATTGAAGGAGCTAAAGCGATTTACATTCGTGACCACCACCATATATGCTGGTCAGTATGCGCTGTCCTCCCTCCTTTTTCCATGTTAGGCTCTGCGATCTTCTTGGCAACAACTGTAGCTGCAGCATTGCATTGCTTTGAGCCCGTCACAATGATACAATATGTTGCACATTAATAGCTTTCATGACAAGTGCTTCCCATTAGGTCCACAGATACATCGATACTGAGGACATTCTTAGCAGTATCACCCTAATACGTGCGGGCATGTTTACAAGTAGTTATTACAAACGACTAGGAAATTATGTTTCCTTAAGAACCTAAAGGGTTTAAGGGTAGTTAATTTAAAGTAACTAAATTATAGTCTATTTGGCAGAGTGAAATGGGTAGTGGGACATTATTGATAAAGTTGCGTGGAATGTTCCTCAAGAAAACAGGTGGGTAACACAACTAGTTATACTGAATTTTCTCGGCCGATTTTCATATGGTATGCGTCAGGCATCGCGGAGTAACCCATGAACTTATGTTATGGAAACAAATGCGAAATTTTGAAGAATTTTACATTTTCAAAAGTTATATGAGAAAAGGTAGTTATTAACTGAGTAAAGTCATTTCAGCACAAAAAATAAGTCATGTTAATATATGTGTAAAACTTGGGCACTGTGGCATTAAGTAATTCCATATTAGTTTGATTATTAAATGTATCACACAGTGAAACAGTATTGCATACTGTATACAATACTGTTTCACTGTGTGATACATTTAATATTCAAACTAATATGGAACAAAAAATAAGAGTGTATTATTAAAAATATCTGTCTGCGGAGTGCTGAACGAACTTTACAGAGGTTTAAAGATGACGTGCTCAGTGAATTACTGCTCTCCCGCATACATAGATGAGATACTCACCGTTAGCCCGGATATAAATACACACGAAGATCCCTTTTAGGCAGTATTACACGAAGTATAAGACAACGGCATGATGATCAATCCAAGTGCGTTTTGCAGTGGAAACATACGAATTCCTGTGACATGTCATTGACATCAACGGGACCCTACTAATCCCCGGAGAAGTGTATACCATACTGCATTGTCCCCCATCCCCATCCTTCGCATAATTCTGGAGATTTCTGAAGTTGGTCGATTTCTTAAGATGCTCCATTCCAAACAGCACACAATATGTGCAGCCCCTGTGTGATTCCTTAAGGTGGGGGGAAAAATGACTTTCAGTTTTATTTTAACGTGACTGCATTGCTAAAAGAGTTGTGGGCGAAAGTCACAACCCTGAAATATGCTGATTCAGGTGCTTTTCTTGCAATAATAGTAGAAACGAAAAGGCTGTGATGGCAACCCCAAACCATCTAGTAGAAAAAAGGTGGGGACGAATACCATTCTACGATAACCTGCTAAATACGTTAAATACGTCCGCTGAACGTTTCTCGACTTCTGCTTTCGATTCTCTACCGAGATGTCTTTTGTTAAATACGCTCTCGACGACACAAACTGATTGCATTCCCGATTTCTAAACAGAATGCAGTACACCGTATACAAAGGTGAATCCTCCTCTGCTGTGCTCACTGAAGCAGGTGTCCTCCAAGGTGATGTACTCTCCCCACTTCTCTTTTCCTTCTTTCTACATGACCTAGCATCTTCAAATGACATTAACTTTGCCAAATATGCTGATGATCCAACTGTATCTTTACCTGTCAAATGCCAAAGTGACTGCTCCAAACCAAATGGCTTTTTATCAGAAAGCAGTCAATGGTTCAAGGAAAACGGTCTTACCTTAAACCCCTCCAAATGCCAAACA